CACTGAGGAAATACATCAACTTCGCGCTGTGGATCGCCGGATCGGCTTTCACCGTGGAGTCCAGCCCGGGGGCGTCACATGTGGTTGCCGCAAGCCCGCCGGCCGTTCCTTCGTCGAATCCGCCGGCCGCGCCGTTCTCTAGTCCACCGGCCTCCGCTCACGGTACACGGCATCACAGTATGGTAGGGGCGTAACATTTCCGTCACACGCTTGAGGTATTCGGCCAATCACAATGCACTGGATAGCTGGCCAATCAGAGCACACCTCGCTTTTCAGACCGATGAGCTTTGTAAAAATCGACGCGTTTCAGAAAGGTGGGGCATAGAGGAGAAACAATAATGTACAGTATGTGGAAAATAATGTGCTTTTTGAACCTTAAACCGCATAAACACATTTCATTACACCAAATACACAACATAATGTTCTTTTTTGCAACGTCATATGACCCCTTTAAAAATACTATAAACAATTTAGTTCATTATACTACTGTTATCAGCCGTCAAGTAAGGGAGTAGATAGGACCTACCTCTTTTGAATAAGTACTTCTTGACTGTTAAAAAATGCATTCAATAGTAATATAAGTATGTCGTATGAATGTAATCTGGCAATACTACATATGTCATGTGTCACTGTCATGCGACCTACAGCATCAGTTGCCATTTACAACTATTCACTGGATCCGCACTTCTTACATCTTACAGGAAATAAGTAGGTCACTGGGTGCTTTTGGCCATATGTTTTATGAATACTAGGCTACTCTTTTCATATACTGTTGTTTGTTTATTATATAGTAGGGAAGTATGAATATTTGGACGTAGCCAAATTTCTTTTTTTCTCCTTGGTTGGCTGTGCGAAGTATTAACCTCAAATCTGCCTAATTTAACAACTATAACATCACATAGCACATCAATAAACATGAGTTGGAAAGCATTTTCTGGAGTAGATGCATAGCTCCAAAACTCCAAAACAAAAACAAAAAACAAAACATCACAAAAAAATTTAAACAAAATAAAAAAACAAAAACAACTTTAAAACAAAATGCCAAAAATGAAAAACAAAACAAAAAATTATTAAAAAAAAACACCAAAGAACTCTAAAACAAACAAAAAAACACTAAAAAAAAACAGTAAACTAAACAAAACAGAACAAAACAAAAAGAACTTTGAAACAAAATAACAACAAACCACAAAAAAAATCCTCCCAACATGACAAAAAATAAAACAAAACACCACAACACAAACAAACAAACAAACAAAAAACACATCAAAAGCCACTAAACAAAACAGAATAGAAATAAATAAAACAAAAAATTAAAATAAAAACACAAAAGTTAACTAAACTAAAGGGGTCACATGAAATAAGCATTTTCTGGAGTATATGCACAGCCTACTCATGTAATTCTAATGACTAGTTACAAACCAAAATGCAGCAAAATTCCTCTAAAAAAACAGCTTCTATTCATTAGTTGCTAGGCAGATTTTCCTCATAAAGACGATGTAGATTTAAAAAAAAAAAAAACAGTAGTTTGTGACTTATTCACTGCAGGATAACAGTCAAATCAAAAGGTGTCCTTTACATCAATGCAGTCGACAACCTTGAATTCCGGTCCCTGACTGCTTAATATTTAACACTTATTTTGACCTGGTGATGAATTTTTAACAGGCTCTGTTGATTACCAGTATGATGTTCTACCGAAAGCCTTCAAAACTGCACCAAAAAAGCTCGTTTATTTTAGATTTTTAGCTGAAAATTTGATCTAAAACTACTTCTAGGCAACCTATCAACATGAGCACGCCGTTGCTGTGACAACACCCCATGTGTGTTTCCCTCCTGCCTGAATGTGATTTATATCAAAGGAGATCTAGCGAGCACATCAGCGCAGCTGCCAGGAGAGTCTCACGTCGTACTACACTAAAGAGAGTAAGACACGTATGACACACGCAGCAGAGATGTGTATACTGTACAATAAATAACCATGATTGACTATTGTGGACAAAAGTAACAAGGAAAGAAGAGACAGAAAGAGAGGCATGTTGTCTTCCCTCGTCTCTATTCTCTGTTTGTTCATCTTTTCTCTGTTCTACAATGCAGCAAACCAAGCAAAAAGAAGATATCTGGCAGAAGAAATCTGGAATCCTAAAAAAAGCGAAAATATCTAGATCAAAAAAAGAGAGTGACGGCCCCATGCGAACTCTCTGTGTGTGTTTGAGGCCTGCCGTGACACGAAGCATGTCCTTATTTAGTCAGAATCGATTGAAGGGTTAAAAAAAGATGGTAGCTGCTGAGTTTAGTTGCCATGGCAACACTGAGGCACAGTTGGAGGTTGGCACATGCACTTGTTAGTACTGGAGAGCTTAGCTTCATTATTTTTTGGGGGGCACAGGGGTTAAAGGGATAGTTCACCCAAAAAAATGAAATTCTATTAAACATTTGTTAATTGTAATGTTGTTTTAAAACTGTATTACTTTCTTCCATGGCAAAAAAATAAAAAAATTTTGAATAATATTCTGTATGTTCTTTTAACAAAAAAAAAAAGTAGTAGTTTATAGCATTATTTATGAAAGTCTTCTGAAGCCATACAACATTTTTTTTTTATAAGAAACCCTCCCAAATTGTCCATATCCACCTTAGCTTTCCATGAGGGTTTACGAGAGACTTAGCAATGGCCAATTCTTGAACGAATCAGACTTTTAGAGTCAAGCATTTTTTTAATGAATCAGTTGATTTGATTCACAGAACCAGTCTGAATTATAACTGACAAAATCAGATTTGACTCTTAGCACTTAACATTTCTCTGGAGGGGAAGAATATCAATAAACAATTTGGTCTGCTCCTCAAACAAAGCTATTGATTTTTACCGATATCCGATATGCCGATATTTTTCCAACTCATTTTGGCCGATAGCCGATGTCGATACCGATATATATCCTTTTGTTTGGAAACAACACCAAGTCTCTTCCTATGTGGAAATTATAAGGAAATTATTTTTAATTTTGTTTAGTTTTTAACAAGAACTTATTTGTTAGAATTAAAAAAAACAATAATGAAGTTATTTTAACTATAAATAAATCGCTGCATTTTTTTTTTCAGAAAGATGCAGTAGTAACCTTAACATTTTATTTTAAGATTTAACATTTGTAGATGGTCTAAAGCAAAATAGTTGTAAAAATTCTAAAAAATCTTTTAGGGCTCATAATTTGTTTTAAAAAAATAACATATTACACATTAATTAATAAATCAGTATATATAAAATTATTTAATTTACAAGTGTCATGTTTGTGATTAAATTTGTAAGCTATAGCTTCTGACCTTTAAATCAAAACATACTCACGATTTTATGACATCAATTACTGCTTTATTTAATCAGAAACACAGTCTAAATGTTACTTGTGTTTTAATTCAGAAGATTGGTATAAAGCTGTTATAAGTTTGTGTAGAACACTTTCATGGTGCATTTTGTGTCCTTTTTGAAGCCTAAACACTCCAGTCCCCATTAAAAGTTATTCTATAGGGAAACAATTATCAGGTCATTTTTGGGTGAGCTATTTCTTTAGGATCATTGATGTGTGTGTGTGTGTGTGTGTGTGTGTGTGTGTGTGTGTGTGTGTGTGTGTGGGAGGGACACTGGCCAATGTAGAACAATAAGTGAAGGGGCTATTCTGCCCCCAACTCTAACACAAACTCATTTAAATATTTCTTTTCTTTAACTATCCACATTTCTTTTTCTTTCAGGGAAAAGGCAAACTCACCAGTCTCTTGGCAAACTCCTTATTTTCAGACAGGAATCCATAGCCAGGATGAACCTATAAGAGAGAGAAAGAAAAAAATGATTTACCTACATGCATCCATAGAATTATACAGGCGACATTTAACAGCTTCATTGCATCAACTCAGTTTATAGATAATAACACTGTCCAGGGCACCATGTTAATAACATATGACCTTGTTTACACCAACATGGATTAGGCTTCAACTGTTCTTAAGTCCCCTGTGTTTTACCTTACACACACACACATACATACATACACACACACTCACACACACTCACAGCTTGAGCTCCAGTCTGCTTGATGGCGTTCATGATAGCATCCATGTTCAGATAACTTTTACTTGTAGGGGCAGGGCCAACACACACAGCCTCATCAGCCACCTTCACGTGAACCTGAGGGAATGAAAACACACAGGAAAATTGTTGAAATCCTTATGTCACGTTTCGTTTTTTGAACTGTCGGGAAAAAACTGGTTTACTTATAATTTATTTCCTTTTTTTTTTTTTTTACATTTTGTGACTTTCATTTAGGAGTCATTAACATTTCTGCAATTTGTCGACACTCTGATGTGTTGTGGCATGTGCGTACAAACTTATTTAAATTATGATCTTTGAGGGTCAATTTGACCTGCTTTTTTCATTATTAATGGCAACTGCACAGACTGGGGGAAAAAAATTTTGTTTGACGCATTATGTGCTTAATTTCTAAAAGCATATTCTATTATGATGTTTAAAGGTTAATTTGACCCACTTATTTCATTATTAATGGCAGCTGAACAGACCTGAAATGTTTATAAATGTTTATATGTATTTTGTTAAGCAAGTTTCTTTAACTACCCTCTAAGGGCATTAAAGGGGACATATGATGCGATTTCAAGTTTTCCTTTCTCTTTGGAGTGTTACAAGCTGATTGTGCATAGATAA